CGCGAATTTATATTATTTTCAATATTATTATTGAACTAAACTTTCGTAGAACGCGAGTGAAACATTGAAAGAATCAAAAGAAAAAACGCGAATTCATATCTTTCTCGATTCTAGAGTATAAGAAAATTTGAATAAAATACGCGACGAGAATTGGGGAGAAGCATAAGTTAAACGCGTAAAAATATTCAATAATAAACGAACTAGGGATGAAGCTATTATTTCAATACGCGATGCACTGACTCTAGTATTTACTAAAATTCAAAAATTCTCGTATAAATTCCGAAAATAGATTATTAATTACGGTAAACTACTGAGACGGTTTAATTTAGGGTGGGCATAGTGCACTCGTTCCAAATCAGCTCACAATATACAATAATAAATCAACTAACTACTGAACATGCATTTCATGCAAATTCGTTGGATGGTAAATTATTAGTAAACAAAATTCAATATCAGAGAAAATATCTGAAAAATTTCAAATTAATTTGAATTGCTGGAAGAAAAGTAACGAAAAGGCAACCTCTCAAAGTCATTTCAATATCCTATTCGACAAGTCTGAAGAAGAACGATGACTAAAATTCAAATGTTTATTTCCCTAAACCTTCAACATAATTTCGAAATATTTTATTCGAAGCGGAGTATTCCAAGTCAGTATCGATAATTGAAGAAATTATTTGATTGTATTTAAAAGAACCGAAAGGAGAATATTTAAAGTCTGATATTAAATGTCTAGCAAGTACCAGTAATTGGTAAAATGATTTATATTTGTTTTAAAAGGAAAATTTCTAATAGGTATTAGTTAAAATGAATTATTATTCAGTCTATTGTATTGAAATTGTATTGAAATTCTAATTGATTCTAATGTATACAAGTGTTACAAGAAGGCTGAGTGTGTACAGGGTGGACCTAGGCTAGCTAGTAGCCCCCGACCACTCTATTCACATCTCAGAACCTTCAGGTCAAAATACGCCGCGAAGTGTCTATGGCCCAGTATAAAGGGTGAATAAATTCGCGGGACATCGGCGGGTCCTTATATACCTGCGGTACCCTCTCCCCAAAGTCATTAGCAAAATCGTCGGTTAGGTCAGGCGGGAAATTTTCGCGGGAGATTTTCGCGGGAGATTTCTGTTATCGTAACACGGTATAATTTATCAATTTTTACAATTTTGTTATAAATTTATACTTCCGACAATTTGTTATAACATTGCATATAACAATTTATACGTTTTTACAATATTCTTCAATGGAAACATAGGTTTTAGCGTTTTCGTTACTTACTCGTGGTTAAATTAATTTCGTAGGGATTAAAAATCAGGTTGACCTGTGGTCGTAGATTAAAAATAACCATAGTACAGCTAAATTTATCGTGTTAAATAATTCTCTTTACACGAATCAAAAATGTATTCAACGTTTGTTTGTTATAATATCGTGAAATGATTCCTCTATTCTCATTTCTGCATTTTCTGTGCAGTTCAACCTAATTTACTTAAATTTACATTATTCAACGTTTGCTTGTTACAGTACCATGAAATAAATTATATTATACGTTTTCTATATTTACATTAAATTTATCGTTCTATTTACATGTCATAACAATTATAACTACACGTTATGCTGCGTCCGTTTGTTTTTTCTGTGCAGTTCAACCTAATTTACTTAAATTCACGTTGCGAGACAGTATAATATTTACAATTCTGCCTGAATTTTTGAAATTCAGAAAAACACAGGTAAACTTCCATTGCATTTAAACGATATTCTCCACCAAACTGGACAAAGTACATACTAGTACTTTTTTCTTTTGCAGTATTGCGTGAGAATACGGGAAAAACAATGCTACGAAACAGAATTTTGCCATTTTTACGTAAACAACGAATTATTGCTCTTTTTAAGACTCCTTTTAATACTGTATAATTAAATAAAAAAATTGTACAAAATTTTTCAATCGAATCTTGGAATCTCAAATGAAGAGTTCCATACCACAATGCTGTAAGTGCTAAATTTTCAAAACACTGAGATATCAAAAAGTTATTTTATATCGTTAAAGTTGAAAATACTCATTTCTACGTTTCATTCGTATTATGTGCAAATATCATTTTCACTTTGTTTCTATTATGTATAAATATCATCTACAATGATTCTTAACTTGGAGAAGCAAATTCAAATGAAAATTTTATATTTGCTACTTGAAACGTTGTAATTCAGAGAATCCTTCATATATCAACTTAAACCCTAATTTATTCTTCTATTTTTCTAATGAAAATCTAAGTGCTTCAAAATACTGCGAACTTTCACCGTACAAAAAGTAACACAACGTACTGAATAAAATGTATATAAATTTATTACTTCCAAAAATGGGACGGCAGTGACGCGGATCGAATCCGCAAGATCAACCCTTTCGCTACAGCAGTGTACGCTTCAGGCGTCACAGAGTAACATTATTTTCTTCTCTATTTTCACAGTTCTTAAGACAATACAACGAAACAATTCGATAAAAGAAAACCGGTCACTCTGGAGATATCAAATTTTCATGGATGACTATAGTCACCGGTAGGATATAGCGAGCGCTCGACGATGAGTGACTATAACCACCGTTAGTAACGAAAGGGTTAAATCTAAAGCACAGAAACAAATTCAAGTTCATCTTGGACTTCGATCGCCGTTATCTAATCCTCCAGGTAACAAAGTCAGCACAAAACTCACACAGTTCTTCAAATTACTTGTAAAACAAACAACATTAATCTCCGTCCACTGAACAAGTAGTCTATCAAAATCCAGTAAGCTTCACGCCATTGGGAACACGGAAGATCCTCTCTTCCGTTGGAAGTTCTCCGATCAGGTACCTCTCCAAGCTCTGCCTGGCCATAGACGAGTGTCCAGTGCCGATGAACGCCAAAGTGGCATCTCTGCCAGCGTATTCGAGGATCACATCCGATCCTCCAGGATGACTGGTCAAGAAATCCGTGCAATCGTAGACGAAATCGTGGATGACGACCCAGCAATTCTCAGCAGTGTCGTGCCACGCTACTTCGTCCATACCGATCGTCTTCAGCTGCTTAGAATCGTCTCTAGGTGACAATCTAGGCTCTTCTTTGCTGTGTTTCGATCTTCTTCTCAATTTCTTCCAAGCTTCGTCTCTGTCCGCGACATTTTGCTTCTTCAAGTCGAGAAAATCTTCCGGCTGAGGTTTGTTACTCCTCAAATCGAGGGATCTGAAGGTGAGACTTAGCAGATCCATTTCTTCGACAGTGCTAGCGTTGCTTCTGAAAGAAAACACAGTCGATGGCTGCATTTTATCACGTCAGTGCTTTGACGCGGAATAGAACAGACGAGATTGCAGATTAACGCGAACTGTTACGCAAATCCCTGACATTCTGACGAATCTCGGAGGAAAGGGGGAACGACTGGAGTTCGCGTGCCGAGTTTTGCGGAACCAATGGCGGGAAAGTTCACGAGGAAACAGATAAGGAGCGAGAAATTCCAATTTAAACGAGGTCAGACTAGCTACGCGTTGTTGCTCTCGATTTTAATTTCGTTCGTATTCGACTGGATGCGTGTGAAAATAAAATATCGTTTAAAAAAGAAGAAATGTTGACGTTTAGTTTCTGTTACGAGAGTCTCTTTACGTTCATTCGAAACATTTCTCTACGTTGCGGAGCATAACTATAGCGACATTAACAGTCTTAAGACTTTTCAACATTGAAAGAATAATTCGACGAAGCCAATTGTGTAATTTGAAAAAGCATTGAAAATAATGAACTTCAGATGAAAAGCATTGAATTTTTCTGTATATATAATAATATCTAGATGAAATCGAAAAACATTTTAGAATCGGTGCAAAACTATAGCACCACCTGCATACTTAATCTATTTCATGGCTTTCTGTTGTAAAACTCCTACTACATAAAGGAAATTTCTGTCGTTTAATCACTTAATTATAATTTAATACTGCTATTACATTGCTGTTACAGATGTGCACCAGTAAATATTTCTTTTATTATTACATTTAGTTTTAAAAAACTGTTATTTTCCCATTTCTTTTGCATCCTACAGAATCCACGTAATATTATTAACCCTTTGCAATCGGGTGGCGACTGAGAAGTGACACTAAATAATTGTCACTTGGTGAATAATTAATCAAGACAGACAGCAGATCTATGGACCTCCATAATCAGAGAATGCACTGAATATTTGAATAAAATAATACAGTTTCTTTCTACGATCATTTTAAAAAATTTCAAAAATCCGATTTGCAACCTTTCCCACAGCAAAATGACCTCCGAGTGCAAAGGATTAATACTTAGAAGTTATTACTTAAAATTCCAAAACTCTTGAAAATTCTAGCTATAGTTATGCTCCGCTACTATGCTTTGCTACTTTTTTTTCTCGAATTCTTACTAATTTACAATACATTATCTTTATTTTATTCGAAACACTTTCAGCCACATGTTTCCTCAACAGAATAAACTCTTACGATTAGAGCTACGAAAGTTTGTAAATTTAGTTGGGTTAGAGGCTTGTTTCTGAAGTTTCACAAGTTCGTTAACAGGAAACTTCTTCTTCACGCAGCAAGGATTTTTTAAAAGGAGCGCACAAATATTGAGACGAGAGAGTTCAGCGTGATTCATAAAAGTGACATCAATTTTCAAGCGATAAGGACTGTTTTATAATAAACGATACGAATAGGTAGAAAAAATATCATCTGACGAAACATCTCACGATATTTGCGTTCATGCTGGAAACACTTGTCACTACGCAATTTCCTAGCACTTTGTGCAATCTTCATTTGACATTTCCTGTCACGGCTTCATCAAATTCCCACTTCTATTCTTCCAATTGAATTATTACGGTAGACAGATTTACCCGTGTCGAATTTTTCTTTTCAAAGGTACTTACGTGTCTATTTGGGGGCAAAACTATCGCGAGTTGCTCTCGAGAGTCAGATTTCTCAGTCTACCAACGAAGAGCTGGATGTACTATCTGAGAGCACTCTCGAGAGTGACTATCGTGAAAGACTCTAATACGCAACTTAATAGACACTTTTCTAACTTCCTTCACTAGAACCACGTGTGAGCAAGTTGAACAAATGGAATTTTCAATGGACGGAAATATCGTGAACAGTGATTACTTTCGTTCCTCCTCCCGATTTTCCTCCATTTCCCTCGAATACCTGCGCGAGTCCTCGCCGGAGGAACATATCACGTAATACTGAACCGTGTCGAGAAATCAATTCCCCTCGCGAGAAATGGAGAATAATTCTATTACCGGTTGAAACCCGATGCGTGCCACCGAGGTGTTCCCTCGCTACGCACTGTCTTACTGATCTGCGTGTCTGGAATCGCGACATCGTTACTTCCACGCGATTCTCATCACCGAAGGTGTCATCGCTGCGAGAATTTTCTTCCGAAAAAATTCACTTCCCTCGTGAGATTGTCAAACATCGTGTACCTTTTTCCCAACGATCGTAAGAGATATCCAAAGCAAATTTTAACCACGTAATCCTCATCGGTAGAGGAAAAAATTGACACATAAATTTTATCGCATCTTGCTTCGTTCGTAACGAAGAATTTTTTTGTAAAATTATATTTCTAATTCTAAGCGATATTCTCCATTTCTGTCGCATGAATAAAAAGGAGGAAACGACACGTGGAATAAATTTGCAGAGAGAGAGAGAGAAACAACGATATAATTTACAATTTCACATTATACAGCTGTGAGTTTCTTTTAGGATTTTTCACGTCTAAACTCCGCATTCCACACGCGAGTATATTCGTAGATAAACCCGGGAAATTATGCAATTTTCCACAAATATGAGGTATGACGCCGTATGTTCTTATCAAGGCTCAAACGTTTGCTACGAAAGCGTGCATTGTTGTTGATTTATTGTTCCTCCATTCGCGAGATAAATCTGATTTACGTCTGGTTACGCCAATGGCCGCGTATTGCGTAATAATTTACCGTCCGTATGATTGTAATAACAGGAGGAGCAACTTCATAAATCGTAATCCTCGCAAATTGTCAAAATACAGACATGTGAATGAACGAAGATTAATCTACGCCTGCAATATTCTCTTCTTACGTTCTTTGATCTTACGTCATGTCCAATTAAACTCACCGTCATATTTTCCATATTATACAGCGTAATTTCTTCAGACATTTTTTTTATCGACGTTTACGTTTAGATTGTTTTTTATGAATCACAGTGGAATCTGCTGATGAACCATGTATCTGACGAGATAAACGAACTCGATGCGATGTATAGTTATTATGAAATAATATTAATCGGTACTTACCAGTGTCACAACGCGATGTAAAATAAAAAATTCACCGTCACAACGCGATAATTAAAATAAACAAGCACGGTTAAAAGATTAATCGAGAAATTAAAATCACGATGATAGGATCACTTTCTTCCAGGGGTAAGCAAATCGACGCTGACTTGTGGGAACATCAGTTACGTTAAGCGCGATTGGCAATTGTTTTCCTTTATACTTCGTATCGAGAATAATATTTTCTTCGAGATAACAAGACAGTTTTCAAATCGATCGTCTTTACATCAGGGACACCTCGACGAAGTATAATATTCATCGTACTTTGTATTGTACAGTGGCACGTGATTCCTAATATGTAGTTGCAAAATGAAGTATCTGGAGGTCAAGGAAAAGCTTCTGTAACGATCGAATATCGCTATTGACATTATAATCCGATTACATCGGTTGACGTAAGCTCGAGCTGCAATCGATCTGTTTAATCTCTGGGAAAATTATCGCGATAATTCCAGCATTTTTCCACGGTTTACATAATCGAAGCGCTAAATCAAAATAGAAATTTCAATTCGAGTAAAGACATTTTTAGCGAATTTTAAATTTAAATTCGAATGAAAATATTATCAGCGAATTTCAAATTTCAGTTCGAATGAAAATTCGCGAATTGTACAATATCCACGATGGAAAAGTAACGAATTAAAATAGAGGTTTAAATTCGGGTAAAGGCGTTTTTAACGAATTTCAAATTTTAACTCGAATAAAGATATTTTCCTTGAATTTTAAATATACATTGAAACGAATACATTTTCAATGAATTTTAAATATAAATTCGAATGAAAGCATTTTTAATGAATTCTAAATTTATATTCAAATGAAAATACGGGAATTCTGTAATATCTACGATAGAAAAGTAGCCTTCTGTATGATAAAAAGCAGAAAAATACTAGAACGAAATGCGAAGGTACTTTCAGTGGAAAATTCGATAAATTATTCTGCAACATCAGTGGTTATCTGGTTGCAGTGACATCCAACGTCGATATCTAACCGTCCGTCGATACGTACGACGTTACCAGTCGCCACGTGCTGACATCTTGCCAACAGGCGGCAACGTTTGATCTTTTACCTTCATTAATACGCAATATCGTGTCTGAAGAAACCTGCAATTTCCCGACATCAAAATTCCTCTACACAAAAGTTTTCCAACAAACGAAAATTAATCACTAATCTTCGATCTCCCGTCGATCGTTCGAAATTCACCAAAATTAAGCGAAAAATAAATTCGACAATTATATTCGAAAAGTCCACGTGACCCAAGTTTCGACTTTTTTCGTATATTTTCAATTAACCAAGGATTTACAGATTTATCCGACGAATTATTACGCGAAGAAGAGGACGAAGCCACGGATGACCCGTTTCCCTTGTCGACAGTGGGCATCTATTGAATTTTACGAACCGTATTAGAGAAGTGGTCGCCTTCGATTTTCCAGTAAACGCTGCCACACCTCGATTTTCCAACCAGTGCGCACATATTCTACCCTACATTTGAAATATGTACTACATGGCTTGGTCGACGAGCATGTAAAACGCATTCTACCGTCCCCCTTATTCCATATTCCTGTTTATGTACGCAGCCAAGTGCGCGCGGCTCGAGGGTGACCAAGTTTCTTTGATCCATGGATTTCGTTCGATTACGCCGAGACAATGCTAACTTCCATTCCAGCAGAGGCTACGAGGAAAACTAGAAACGTAGGGGGAGAAAAAATGGTTCGACTGTAATTTAAAATACTTGGAAATAATTTAGTTGAACTTCGCGCGGAACTTTGCGAAAAGTTCGATTGCGAAAGTTTCGTAGGATCGTTTGAAGAAAAATAGTACGATTTAGCGCGAAGATATATATCTATATTCGAAGTTAAATGGAATGGTAGTTCTTTGTTGTGTTTGTATTTTTATGAGATACACATATAAATTGATCCCTTGAATTCCAAGAATTTGTTCGTATCATCGATCAACAATGTCGGTGAACTTTTGTAGTGAATATTTTGAAAAACGAAAGGGCTGTTTTGGAAAGAAAAAATGATAAATTTTCATAGATTTATTTATTTTTGTTTCTTTTATTTTGATATAGGTGAGACTTGAATGGAGACTGTGAACTGAAAAGGGTTCAAATATCTTGGATTTCCTTGTTTCTGAGAGATTCTCCAAAATACGTGAGTAATATATATCGCTATAGGAATTAAATGATCGTTAAAACATTTTTTTAGTTCGATATAATAGACGTAAACATATCGATCCGCATAAAATTTATTCAATAAATGAATACATTACTACAAACCAGAAAACAGGAAAGAATGAAAATATCCTTAATTGAAATTTCCATATTTTTCTTCAATTCAAAAATTTCAAGATTCCCTAGAGTCCCTTTCAATTTCTCATTCTAATCCCAAACTAATACCTAAATACCTTCCACCACAAATTAACTTCTTTTATTTCAATATAATAGAACCATTAAATAACAAAAAATTAAAATATCCCGAATTTCCCTATTTCTCCTCAATTCGAAAATTACAGTATTCCCCAAAATCCCTTTCAACATCTCGTTCTAATTACAAAATCCTACCTAAACACCTTCCACGAGCCGTTTCATTTCCCAACCAAACAAACCCCCTCGGTTCCCACAAAAGAGTCGACTAAATGAAAAGAAAAAGCATCTTCGACGATAATTGAATTAAAAATGGAAAAGCCAGTGAACGAGGATTGTCTGACACAATAAAGAAGCGTCGCGACGGCGATCACTTGAGCGGGTCCCGCCGAAGGCAGGCGGCGCGTCGGACGAATCGCGGCCAGCGGTTATCGAGCAGCGCATGTGTCCTAGAGAGCGGTCGGCTCTGGCCGCCACGACGCCGGCGTCGCACGGCGTCGAGGGCAGCGCCGACGGCGACGTACGACGGGCTGGATAGTTGCAATCATGCCACCACCCTGACGCACGTCCCCGTAACCACGGTGCGTGTACGTCGACGACGCAAAGGGGCAACCGAGTCCGAGTATTATTTCTCTACTACGCAAAAACGAACCCTAACCATTATTGTCGGACGTGTTCGAGAAACCTGACGATACCATTACTCAACCTTGCAACGAGAGAACCTCTTTCACCGTGTGTGTGTGTGTGTGTGTGTGTGTACAATCTCAAGAAGAAGAAGAGTAACAAGAAGGAGGAACAACTGCAACAACCAGCACACTACCCCAGAGTGTGTTCGAGAAAGAAAGAAACGAGAGAAGAGACGACCCTACTACGACGACGAACAAATCCGTGGAAACGATCGAGAAAAGAGAAGCTGTACGTAAACAGTCAAATGTATAGTGAGATCTGTTGGTGTTAATACAATAGAGGAATATAATCAACGTTGGTACCGATAGTTTTGTCACCGTGTTGGATTTATCCTCCCCTCCCCCTGATGCTGGAGCGTCGAGACGCCACACCACACGTTTCATCGAGAAGATCATGATTTCGTCATTGCACCCTGTCGGTCGGAAAAATTTCCTCTTTTCTTTTTAAACTCCGTGAGATATAATAATATATATTTATTTATGTGTACATAATATATACATAACATATGTATAATATATGTATGTATATATATATGTGTATATATCTATACTCGTGGTATAATTCGCGGAATATCGGTATCGACGAAACGGTGCGTCTGTCTGGTTGAGTGCGTGTGCCTGTGCCGCAGCAGCAGGGGGTTGCATGCGTGAATGCGGTGCGGTGGCGCAGCTGCGAGAGGTGCGCCGACAAGTGTCGTATGCGAGCCGGGGCGCACGTGTGCGGAAAAACGCACAACGTGTTTTTCCAGCGGGCCAAGCAGTGCGTGCATGGTGCGCGACACACACCAGAAGCAGCGTCGTCGGGGAAGCCGCACGTG